TCCTGAACCTCACCCACCCCCACAGAGGCCCCGGCTCTGACACAGCCGCGGGGGCTGCGGGAGACACAGTCAGGTCCACCTCAGAAGCTCACCCCCAGGCCTGGGCGAGCCCCGAGCACCGTTCTCCTTCTGAGCAGTTCTCTCCCCAGGCCTGGGTTCTTCCCACACCTTTAAACGGATCAGTTCCCAGAAGATTCCAGAATTCCACCTCGGTGCTGGGAGACTCTCGGCGCTGTCCATGGTGAGCCCCAGCTGCTTTTCCTTCCCGGACGGCACCTCTGTGTCCTCGGCTCAGGTGGATGGTGCAGACCACCATGCACCGCACTGGCTGTCTCCGTGGCCCACAGAGCCGGTGGCCTGTGTGGCCAACCACTCTGCTGCCCACACCTAGAGGAGTCCCTGGGGCACAGCAGGGGCTGCGTAACTACATCTGAGTAGGTGACAAATGAGAGGCTTCAGAGGGACAGCAGCCACGCCCACGGTCATTTCCACTGAGCTGTGATCTGTAGGACTCATTTCCTGCAAGAGCACAAACCTCCAGCTACGACCCTGCAGGGGTGCAGCACTGGGTCCTGGAGCTGTCAGTTAATACAACAACCACAACCTCCACCTATAACCCTGCAGGGGTGCAGTACTGGGTCCTGGAGCTGTCAGCTAAAATAACACCACAACCTCCAACTCCACCTACAACCCTGCAGGGGTGCAGCACTGAGTCCTGGAGCTTTCAGCTAACATAACAACCACAACCTCCAACTCCACCTACAACCCTGCAGGGGTGCAGCACTGGGTCCTGGAGCTGTCAGCTAACATAACAACCACAACCTCCAACTCCACCTACAACCCTGCAGGGGTGCAGCACTGGGTCCTGGAGCTGTCAGCTAAAATAACACCACAACCTCCAACTACACCTAAAACCCTGCAGGGGTGCAGCACTGGGTACTGGAGCTATCTGTTAATACAACAACCACAACCTCCACCTACAACCCTGCAGGGGTGTAGCTCTGGTACTGGAGCTGTCAGCTAACATAACAACCACAACCTCCATCTACAACCCTGCAGGGGTGTAGCTCTCGTACTGGAGCTGTCAGTTAATACAATAACCACAACCTCCAACCTCCACTACAACCCTGCAGGGGTGCAGCACTGAGTACTGGAGCTATCTGTTAATACAACAACCCCAAGGATTTGGCTGGACAGCATTTCCCGCCACACGGTAGCAAGTACCCACCCCACCACACGGTACAGGTACCCACCCTGCGGGTGCTGTGCCTAGCATACCTTGAAGGAAGCCATCTATTACCAAACACAAACTTTGAAAATTCCAACCAATTTCAGGTACAGTAGTTCTCTTCATGGACAGGCGTCTGGCCCGGTGGTTGTGACAGTCAGAATGTGCCCTCTCATGTCGGCATGCCTGATTCAAGGCTCAGCTTCAACTCCTGACTCCAGCTTCCTGCCTGTCGCTCCCCCTCTTCGTGGAGGAACGACACTAAGCCCTGCCTAGACTTCATAGCCGTCCTAAGTTTCCTAATCCGAGTCACGGCACCATTATGTCGCTCCCCCTCTTCGTGGAGGAACGACACAGGACCCTGCGCTGTTCTTTCGTCTGCTCGGCCCTCCCTGGGTTTGCTGCTGGTTCTTCCCGGGTTGGCTACTGACCCTTCCACCTCCGTGGAAGGGCGGTTCCCCCTGCCACTTTCCCCACTTCCGCAGGGGAGCGGCACACCGCCGGCCGGCTCTCTCGGAGGCTGCACAGGTGTTCCCTTAGGTGTTCCCTTAGATGTTCCCCTTAGATGTTCCTCTTAGATGTTCCTGGTGCATGCCGTCTCTCTCCTCCTATATAGTCCTCCTCCGCCAATCCCAACTCGGCTGCCCACACGCCGAGCACGCCGCTCTCCTCCAATCAGGAGCAAGTCCTACAGTTTATTGGCTGAACTGGAGGCAGCTGTGCAGAAGCTGTTTTCTTCTCTCCCAGCGCCATACTGTGGGAGAGCAGATGCATAGAATAAGTCTTAATTCCAGTAACTCAGTCTAGTGTGAGTTGCTCCCCACAGATCCCCCTTTCTTTTTATTTTTTGGCGTTGATACGCGCCTGTCTTCGGTGTCCCACGGTACACACTCTGCTCTACTTGCTAGAGTTGCCCGCAGGTTCTTACAAGCCCTATAAATCAGGCAAACCGAATCCGGGTCCTCTCTTCGCCATGTTGTGAGGAGGTTTTTAGGCGCTGATGCGTGCCTGTCTTCGGTGACCTGCGGCTCATACTCTGGTCGAGCCGCCTGCTGGTGCTTACCGCCTTACTAATCAGGCAGACCGAATCCAAGCCTTCTCATTGCGGTATTGTGGGGAGACTATTGATGTTAATAACGTGCCTGTCTTCGGTGACCTGCGGCACATAAGCTGCTAGCCGCCCGCAGGTGCTCATCGCCTCACTAATCAGGCAGACCAAATCCAAGCTCTCACATTGCTGTGTTGTGGGGAGGCCTTTCTATTTCTCTATTTCTCTATCTCCGGGCATTCCTATTTCTCCCATTTTACTTCTATCTTCCAGCATTCCTATTTCTCTCATTTTACTTCTAAACTTCTGTTTCTCTTATCCCCGCGGCTTCCCGGCTCCCGCCCCGAGGCTGCTTCTCGGCGGCTTCCCGGCTGAGCCGCTTCAGCCCGCTTCTCTCTCATCTGCGCGGCTCAGCTTCGCACGCACACTCCGCGGTCTCGCACTAGCCCAGCGTTCCCTATCTACTTGTGCCCCGCACGCTCTCTCTGCACACGGCGGCTTCCGCGAGTCACACAGCGTAGCTTACGTCTCCGCCACTAGCATTCAATCCAAGTTCCCCGGGCTAGCCTGACGAATTCAACCCAGCTCACGTCTCCGCCCCACGACTTGGCTTCCCGTCCTTTGCTCCCCGGGCTAATCAGACGGATCCCAATCTGGCTTACGTTTCCGCTTCTGGTTTCAACTTTTCGCCCCCTATTCCCGGGCTAACTTGAGAATCCCAAAGTGGCTTTCGTTTCCGCCTCGGCCTGCCCCCCGCGGCTTCAATTTCCCTAACATTTTTCTCTACCCGGTATGTTTCCCCAAGCTTTCTTCCAACAATATTCCTCCCTCATTTCTCCTGGCTTCTCCCCACAGTCCGTATCCATGTCTAAGTTTCTTATAGGTTTCACTTTCACTTTCAACCTGCAGTCCGTATCTGAGTCTAAGTTTCTTCTTGCTTTCACTTTAAATCCTAACTTCTTTCCCACAGTCCGTATCCGAGTCTATGCCTAGGCTTTCGATAGCTTCTTCCGGCACCTTTTCTGTCCGGCTTTTCCCTAGGCTGTTTGCTAGTCTCTCTCTCCGGCATTTTCCCATTTCTTCCCTCCTAAGTTTCCTTATCCGAGCTAGGTTTCCTATCCGTCCTAGGTTTCCTAATCCGAGTCACGGCACCATTATGTCGCTCCCCCTCTTCGTGGAGGAACGACACAGGACCCTGCGCTGTTCTTTCGTCTGCTCGGCCCTCCCCAGGTTTGCTGCTGGTTCTTCCCGGGTTGGCTACTGACCCTTCCACCTCCGTGGAAGGGCGGTTCCCCCTGGCCACTTTCCCCACTTCTGCAGGGGAGCGGCACACTGCTGGCCGGCTCTCTCGGGGGCTGCACAGGTGTTCCCTTAGGTGTTCCCTTAGATGTTCCCCTTAGATGTTCCTCTTAGATGTTCCTGGTGCATGCCGTCTCTCTCCTCCTATATAGTCCTCCTCCGCCAATCCCAACTCAGCTGCCCACACGCCGAGCACGCCGCTCTCCTCCAATCAGGAGCAAGTCCTACAGTTTATTGGCTGAACTGGAGGCAGCTGTGTAGAAGCTGTTTTCTTCTCTCCCAGCGCCATATTGTGGGAGAGCAGATGCATAGAATAAGTCTTAATTCCAGTAACTCAGTCTAGTCCGAGTTGCTCCCCACACCTGCCAGCGCATGCCCTGGGAGCCAGAAGTGCTGGCCCAGGGAGCTGGGTCTCCGCCACCCCCAGGGGAGACTGGGTTGAATCTCTGGCTCCCAGTCCTGGCCCCCGGATACTACACGTATTTGGGGAATGAACTAGCAGACAGAATGCTCTCTCTCTCTCTCTGCCTCACTAATAAATTAGGAAACAATAATAAATTATAGGAAAATAAACACACGCAAGGGCCAGCTTTTGGGGCAGTGGGTTAAGCTGCTGCCCGTGACACCAGCATCCCATATGAGGGCGAGTTCAAGTCCCGCCTGCTCCCCTTCTGGGCCAGCTCCCCGCTAATGTGCCTGGGAAACAGCGGAAGACGGCCCACATGCTTGGACCCTTGCACCCATGCAGGAGACCCAGCGGAATGCCAGAGTCCTGGCTTCAGCTCAGCCTACCCCGGCTGTTGCAGCCCTCTGGGGAGTGAACCAGCGATGAAGACCTCTCCCTGTCTTTCCCTCTCCCTGTACTGCCTCAGTCAGAGGAGCCCAGTCTGAGCACTGCACGACTGATTCATCCCCACTGCGACCTCGGAGCTCCCCCAGGGCCAGCCCTTCCGTCCAGTGCGTCCTGGGCCGTCCACAGGATACTGTGCGGGCCGCTGCTGCAGGCGAGTCTACCTCTCCTTATCTCGAGCAGCGCCACTGGAAAGGTGTGACCAAACACGAAAAGCACCAATGACAACAGAGGACAGGCTGGAACGTCAGCTCCCATGAAGGCAGGGAGCCTGCGGCCACCTGCACACCCAGGGCCTCAGGGCCCCTCTGGTCCCAGGGGAGGGGCGGGGAGTTCAACATCGGGGCGCCGTAGGCACTGCTCCCTGTGGGCAGATGGAGACGGCTGCCCCAGCTCCACTTCCTGACGCGGTGGGAACCAGGATGGGGCTTCGCGGAACCTCCCCCGCTCCCTCAACAGAGCACCAGAGCCGTGGAGGAGGGTGCTCCCAACAGAGCGCTTGGCAGAAGACAAGAGCAGCTTTCATTCGTCACAAAACCCCAGCAGCTCATGGCGGGGAGAATTCCAGTACTCACGCTGCAGGGCGTGCTGGCTGTCTGCGCTGGGCTGCAGAAGGAGCCCCACTGGGCGGTCCGCCTCTGCTCCCGGGACGGGGTGCTGTTCACAGGCAGGCCGGTGGGGCCCCCAGGGCCTGCACCTGCGGCGCTGACTGACTGGCTGCTGGGGGCCACGAGGGCAAAGGCGTCGTCCAGCAGGGAGTGCATGGTCTGGCGTGCCTCCTCGATGGACGGCTGCGGGGGGACGTACTGGGAGGCTGGGAAGGGCAGGCCCGGGTATCTGCCCAGCTCCGCCGAGGACGGCGTCTGCACGTCGGCCGGGAGGTCGGGGTCGGACTGCAGGGGGAAAGGCAAGGAGAGGCAGACGACTCACACACGCGCTTCGGGGGCCACCCGGAAACAAAACGCAGCTTCACCATTCTCCTGGTGTTAGGGAAAATTTCAACCTAACGCTAAAATGCAGCATTACGTTTCAGGGCGGATAAGGGCTTTAATCAGGATGAAAGAGGAAACAATGGATTCGGTCATCATCTTGTAGCAGAACTCCTTGTTACTGAAAGTCTCCCAGCAGCCAAACCGCACACTTCAGTGAGCCTAACTGAAGCCCAGCACCGTCCTGGGAGACCAACAGTGAGGCGCACTGCTGTTTTTAAAAGATTTACTTCTGTATTTGAAAGGCAGAGAAACAGAAAGAGAGGGGGTGGGGTGGGGGAATCTTCCATTGGCTGGTTCACTCCCTGAGATGGCTGCAATGGCCAGGGCTGGGCCAGGCTGAAGCCAGGAGCCAAGAGCTTTATCTGGGTCTCCCATGTGACTGGCAGAGGTCCAAGCACTTGGGGGCCATCTTTTACTGCTTTCCCAGGCACATCAGCAGGAAACCGGATCAGAAGTGGAGCAGCTGGGACTCGAACCAGTGCCCAGATGGAATGCTGGCACTGCAGGCAGTGGCTTAACCTTCTAGGCCACAGTGCCGGCCCCATTATTGACTATTAGCAGTAGGAAAAAAAAAAGTCTCCCACAGCCCCTAGAAAAGGTCAAAGTCGCCACCATTTAAAACTGTGTGTATGTGTGTAACAACTTTCTACATTAGCAAATGGTGAGATTTATTTATTCAGGAACCATACATCTTCCAAACATTATAATGTGAGCCATTAAGAAAGACTTAAATTATGTCCTAGGGGCCCAGCATTGTGGCGCAGCAGGTAAAGCCACCGTCTGTGATATGACCATCCTATATGGGCACCGTCATCTCGCAGCTGTCTGATCCAGTTCCCTGCTAATGGCCTGGGAAAAGCAGCAGCAGATGGGCCACGTGCTTGGGCCCCTGCATCCATGTGGGAGACCAGGATGGAGCTCCTGTCACCCATGCACGGCCTTGCTAACTCCCTGGGACCGCGCCAGCCCCTGAGCAGTTAGAGATCAGGGTGCTGGGGATTCAGTAAGCTGGCAAGGAAAACCTGGTTCTTGCTGACCATCCTTCAGTTCTCCACAGGCCCCAAGTCCGAGGCCTGTCTGGCACCTTTATGTTACTTGGTATCTTTCAGTATCTTTCCTGCTACTTGGTATCTTTCAGTATCTTTCCTGCTACTTGGTATCTTTCAGTATCTTTCATGTTACTTAGTATCTTTCAGTATCTTCAATGTTACTTAGTATCTTTCCTGCTACTTGGTATCTTTCAGTATCTTTCATGTTACTTAGTATCTTTCAGTATCTTCAATGTTACTTAGTATCTTTCAGTATCTTTCCTGCTACTTGGTATCTTTCAGTATCTTTCCTGCTACTTGGTATCTTTCAGTATCTTCAATGTTACTTAGTATCTTTCCTGCTACTTGGTATCTTTCAGTATCTTTCCTGCTACTTGGTATCTTTCATGTTACTTAGTATCTTTCAGGGTTAGTTATGTGTGTCTCAGAGTACAAAGAAATGGCTGGCTGCGCGCCTTCCACCTGAAGTGGTCCTTGACATCAGAGTCCCTGGTCCAAGCACCTGCTCTCTGCTCCCTCCTGCCCTAAAGGGATGGTCTGTGAGCATCTCCGGGAGCAGGAGGGGCTGTCTCCCCCAGCCCCTCTGCAAGGCTGGCCGCCCTTTCTTCCCTGCTTGGTGGGATCTGTGTGTGGTCTCCATGCTACCAATGTCTGCCTTTAACACTCCCAGCAACTCTCGCAGCCCCTTTCAGTTTGGGAGGGGGAAAAAATCTATTTCTTTATTATTTCTTCACTTCCATTAAGCTTTTTCCTATCAAAATAAAGTACACATACAAGGGGTTCATGGAAAATGAGATTAAGCTTATTCTGGTGCAAAGATTGCTAAAGCCCATAGATGCTGGTTCGAGGCCCGGCTGCTCCACTTCCGATCCAGCTCCCTGCTATGGCCTGGGAAGGCAGTGGAGGATGGCCCAGGTCCTTGGGCCCTTGCACCCACGTGGGAGACCCAGAAGAAGCTCCTGGCTCCTGGCTTCATATCGGCACAGCTCCGGCCACTGCAGCCATCTGGAGAGTGAACCAGTGGATGGAAGACCTCTCTCTCTGTAACTCTAAGTAAAATAAATAAATCTTAAATAAATAAATAAAGCCCATGTGTATGAGGGGTCTTCAAAAGGGTCACGGAAAATCTGTGCATGGAAAAGAAGGGCTGCCGAACCTAGAAACTGTCTGCGCTAAAATAAACACTGCTTCAGTGCCTTCTCCCCAAATGAACTTCTGGAAGCGCTGCGTCTTCCTAAGGTCCTGGAGGCAGGAGAGGGCATCACCCTAACACCCCACCACCACTGAGAAGGCCCACCAACCCTCGGCCCAGGGCTGGCATCTGTGGTGTCCGGCTCCAGCCAGGGAGGGCAGAGCCCTCAAGACCTTGGGACGCACCCACGGGGCTCGCCCAAAACAAGGGAAAAAAAAAAAAAAAAAAGGCGGATCTTCCCAGGGGTTTGGCCAGTAGCTGGCTGGCTGCTGTCAATCAAGCCTCTCCGCGGAAGGAGCCAGGGCCGGGGAGCACAGACCCCGTGACGCACCGGGCACCCGATGTAGGCAGAGTTGTGCACGCCCGGAGGCCTCTTGTAGGTGCCGTCGCTGTCGGTGGTGATGAGCCGGTCCTTCTCCGCGTCCGCGGGGCAGCCGTTGACCTGGTGCTTCCGGCGGGGTTTAGGGGAACGCTTAATCCGTGAGCTGCCGGGAGAAAGAGCGACCCACTGGGGAGGGCGAAACACAGCTCGGCGCCCCCGGGGACCAGCCCCTAGCCCACTGTCGGCCCCAGGCGCCCGACTCCGTGGGCGGCTCGCGGGGTCCACAGCGGGAGGCAGAGTACGGGAGGCGACGGCCGTCTGCGGGCCTGGCAGCGCCCTGCTGCCGGCGGGTGGGGCGGCCGGAGCAGGCAGGCAGGCAGGCTGCACCTACTAGGCGCTGGCTCCCGTGGCTGGCAGAGTCGCCATGGAGGGCAGAGAAAAGGCTGGGCGGCGAGCGGAGGCGCACCGCAGGCAAGGCCGGGAAGGAAACCGTGGCCCGAGGGCCCCCACGCGCCCCGGGCCCGGCGCGGCGCCTACCTCTTCCGGGGCTCTATGAACACGGAGGGCACGCTGGCCGTGGGGTCCAGGATCTTGTCGATCTGCATCTGCGCCCTGCGGTACACGCGGTGCCGCTCCCGGGTGTCGCCAGAAGACAGCTCGTCCACCACCGGGAACTCGTAGTGGCCGCGGCGCTTGGCGCGCAGGCGGATCTTGTTGCGGTGGTGCTCGATCTCCGACTTGTGGCGCAGGGCGGTCTGGATCTGCGGGCGGGGGGACGGCCGCGCGGCTCAGAGACCCGGGCTGGGAAGCCCTGCCCACTCCTCCCCCAAAGCCGGGGAGACATCACTCAGCCCGGGGAAATAGGCCAGGGGCACTCTGAAGACGCTGTGTCCCCTAAGGAGGCAGGTACACCCCGGACAGGCTTTCCACGTCCAGTAACAATACTACTTACTTCCGCGTAAGGCGCAGCTGCTGGGACGACATTGGCATTCCACAGACCCCGCCCCCACCACCCCCAGCGGCATCAAAGCGGGAACTGGTCCGGCCCGGGACCTGAACTAGGTCTCGGCAGAAGGCCGCACCGACCTTCCAGGGGTCACAGCTCAGTGTGCCCTTCGTGTGTGTGTGTCTGGCAGTGGCCCTGAACAGTTCCTGATCTTAAAAAAAATGAGGACAGAATGAACATCCCCAGGCCGAAGAGCCGAAATCCAGAGCTTCTCCAGCACCCACAATGCACCACAAGTGGAAAATTCTATCCCATGAAGCTGTGTCGTGCACAAAATTGTTAGAATTACGGTGCAAAATTATCTCCAGCCTACGTGCGTATCTATGGTGGACATACAAGCCTGCGTGATTCTCATGTTTACAGACCTGGGTCCTCATTGCGTAAATCTGGGGGAAAATAACCCAAAATCTGAAAGACTTCTAACTGATCCTGAGAATTTCAGATAAGGAATACTCAAAGTGCCCCATATTTTGAATGCAGAACACCTGTCACCAGTTCCCGCTTCACACAACCGTTGGAAACTGTTTCACTCACTGCTCAGCACTGACCCAGCGAGAACGAGTTCTGCACCGACATACATGCTGTCCCCGAGAACAATCACCTCCTTATTGATCTTGTTGCTCTCTGCCACGCGGTCGGCGAGCGCCGGCTGCGGTGCCGGGGGCGCCGGGATGGGCTGCATGGCGATCAGCTGGATCTTGCTGGGGACCCTCCGGCCGGCTTCCGAGCAGCGGGAAATCCTGTCCACGTGTTCGAAGATGGAGGCCGAGGAACGCTGCTCGTTCCCTGAGCTGGGCAGAGGGGGCCCTGGAACAGCAGGAAGAGCAAGCGGTGAGGTCAGCCCATGGCCTCTCAATCGGCACATGGCCAGAATGACAGGTTGTTCCTGGAAGAATCCCAGACAGGCCCCAGACCGAAGATGCACCCCACGCCGGTGGCGGATACTTGACAGTGCCCAATCGCTCTCCTTCAGCTTCCTGAAACCCGAACTACAGGAGCCCTGAGGAAGGGTGTGCCCGGGGGAAAACTGCCCTGTTTTATCTAAAGGCGGCCCATACCTTCCGTGAGAAAAGGTAAAAGCCAGGGGCACCTGGAGCTGCACGGCTGACCAGTTCACAGAACTTTCCCACAAAGGCATTTGGAGCAGGTCTGATCCTCGGCCGTCGTCCAGAGGGCGCTCCCCGTGTGCCCGAGACCTAGTTGCCATGGCAATGCTACACAGGGCTCCCTCAGTAGCCAAGGGGGTGCTTGGGTTCTGACCCTGTGGATACCAAATCCTTGGATACCCAAGTCCCCCACATGAAATGACGTGGTATTAGACATCAGCACTGTGACGTGGTATTAGATGTCAGCAGTGTGACGTGGTATTAGACGTTAGCACTATGATGGAGAAAGAAAAAAGCTGAAGAACTATGAAAAAGCTGCTGTCTGTAGGAAATCAGCTCCCACTTTTTAAAGAAATTATTTATTTGAAAAGCAGAGATACGAGAGCCAGAAGGAGAGGGAGAGAGGGAGAGAGGGAGAGAGGGAGGGAGGGAGGGAGGGAGGGAGGGAGGGAGGGAGAGAGAGAGGGGGGGGGGGGAGGGTCTTCCATCCACTGGTTCACTTCCCAAATGGTCGCAGTGGTGGAGTGTCGCTCCCCCTCTTCGTGGAGGAATGACACTAAACCCTGCCTAGGCTTCATATCCGTCCTAAGTTTCCTAATCCGAGTCACGGCACCATTATGTCGCTCCCCCTCTTCGTGGAGGAACGACACAGGACCCTGCGCTGTTCTTTCGTCTGCTCGGCCCTCCCCGGGTTTGCTGCTGGTTCTTCCCGGGTTGGCTACCGTCCCTTCCACCTCCGTGGAAGGGCGGTTCCCCCTGCCACTTTCCCCACTTCCGCGGGGGAGCGGCACACCGCCGGCCGGCTCTCTCGGGGGCTGCTCAGGTGTTCCTTCAGATAGATGTTCCTGGTGCATGTTGTCTCTCTCCTCCTTTATAGTCCTCTTCCACCAATCCCAACTCTGCTACCCACACGCCGAGTACGCTGCTCTCCTCCAATCAGGAGCAGGATCAGCTCCTGCAGGTCATCACTCAAGTTGGCGAGAGGCAGCTGCGTAGAAGTTGTTACTCCCTTCTCAGTGCCATATTGTGGGAGAGCAGATGCATAGAATAAGTCTTAATTCCAGTAACAGTCTAGTCTGAGTTGCTCCCCACAGTGGAGCTGGGCCAATCTGAAGCTGGGAGCCTCCTCCAGGTCTCCCACATGGGTGCAGGGGCCTAAGGACTTGGGGTATCCTCCACTGCTTTCCCAGACCATAGCAGGGACCCAGCTCCCACTTTAAGAGAAAGTTTAAATGGTTAAAAGGGCAAATTTTATGTTATGCCTATTTCACCAATAATGGTTTTTAAAAAGTAATTAGACTTTTGAAAATGAAATAATTTGAATATGCAGGGGAAAGACAGCACAGAAACTCTCAAAGTGGTAACGAGATTACATGTTGGTATGGTGGATGATATTCTCCAATTTCTTGTATTTTTTAAATTTATTTGAAAGGCAGAACACAGAGAGAGAAAGAGATCCTCCATCCACTGGTTCACTCTCCAGATGGCCACAATGGGTAGGGTTGGGCTGGGCTGAAGCCAGAAGCCAGGAGCTCCATCTGGGTCTCCCACGTGGGCGCAGGGGCCCGAGCACTCGGGCCGTCCTCTGCTGTTTCCCAGGTGCATCAGCAGGCACCTGGGTCAGAAGCGGAGCAGCCAGGACTTGAACCAGGCCTCATATGCGATGCTGGTGGTAAAAGCAGTGGCTTAACCCACTGCGCCACAGTGCTAGTTCCTCTTGTATTTTCTAATGTGAGGATTTCCTCCAGTGAGTATGACTTACAGTGGAAGTAATTCTGAAAGGGAGAAGGGAGAGAGCAGCCGCAGAGAGCCAGCTGATGGTGCTAACGTCAACAGAACCCTGCCTGCCACAGACATTCGCGTCACTTCTGGGGGCTGCCTGTCAGTGACTGCCCAGCAGGCCAGGAGGACTGGACGCGTGCAGGACTGGTTCAAGACAACAGTCCACGCAGGAACAGAAAACACAGCGGCTGCTCCTCAGCCTACAGAGGCCAAGAGTTGGCCCTGAAGCTCCCAGCATGGGGCAGCCACGGTTATCAGCCCTGTACTGCACCTGACACTCCCAGCGTGGGGCAGCCATGGTTATCAGCCCTGCACTGCACCTGACACTCCCAGCGTGGGGCAGCCATGGTTATCAGCCCTGCGCTGCACCTGATGCTCCCAGCATGGGACAGCCACGGTGATCTCAGCCCTGCACTGCGCCTGACACTCCCAGCGTGGGGCGGCCACGGTTATCAGCCCTGCACTGCACCTGACACTCCCAGCGTGGGGCAGCCACGGTTATCAGCCCTGCACTGCGCCTGACACTCCCAGCGTGGGGCAGCCACGGTTATCAGCCCTGCACTGCACCTGACACTCCCAGCATGGGGCGGCCATGGTTATCAGCCCTGCACTGCACCTGACACTCCCAGCATGGGGCGGCCACGGTTATCAGCCCTGCACTGCGCCTGACACTCCCAGCGTGGGGCAGCCATGGTTATCAGCCCTGCACTGCGCCTGACACTCCCAGCGTGGGGCGGCCACGGTTATCAGCCCTGCACTGCACCTGACACTCCCAGCATGGGGCGGCCACGGTTATCAGCCCTGCACTGCGCCTGACACTCCCAGCGTGGGGCGGCCAAGGTTATCAGCCCTGCACTGCACCTGACGCTCCCAGCGTGGGGCAGCCACGGTGATCTCAGCCCTGCACTGCACCTGACGCTCCCAGCGTGGGGCAGCCACGGTGATCTCAGCCCTGCACTGCACCTGACGCTCCCAGCGTGGGGCAGCCACGGTGATCTCAGCCCTGCACTGCACCTGACGCTCCCAGCGTGGGGCAGCCACGGTGATCTCAGCCCTGCACTGCACCTGAATCTCCCAGCGTGGGGCAGCCACGGTGATCTCAGCCCTGCACTGCGCCTGACACTCCCAGCGTGGGGCAGCCATGGTTATCAGCCCTGCACTGTGCCTGACTCTCCCAGTGTGGGGCAGCCACGGTGATCTCAGCCCTGCACTGCGCCTGACGCATCACAGAACTGTGAAGCCATCTTCCAGTCCCCTCAGCCGAGCTCACAAACACCACCGTGATGAGACCTCTGGGACCCGCCTTCATGAAAAGATGAGTCTTCTGCTGGACGATCCCAACCGTTTGATAAATGAGTACGTGAAAACCTCGATGTCCCAGGTAATCAAACCGGCTTAAAGTATTTGTCCACAAACTCTCGGGCCTGTGAAAAGCAAATGTCAGCCTGGTCTCCCAGGTGAACCTGGAATTCGTGGAACTGGGTAATGAACTCCTCACGGTTTAGAGTCACACACTGCGCACACGGAACCTGAGAACACAAAGCGAGCACCCAGCACTTACAGTCCTTGCCTACCTGTGTATTGCTGGTGATACCAGGAGAGAGAAAAGGCCTAGGCACCCACAGACACAGCAACGGCCGCGCCCTAACACCCTGAACCCAAGCAAGGTGAGCCATCTCCTCTCACCTCTCCCTGCACAGCTACAGGAAGCACGAGTGGTGATGACGTGACCCACCTCAGACTGCAGCAACTGCGTGAGGAATCCCTGAGGGGTTCACAGACAGCTGCAAGGGCACGCATTCCGGTCCAGGCAGTGAGCCAGGAACCCCTGAGCCGACTACGACGGAATGGTCTCTACTCAGCGTCCACGCGAGAAGGGTCCTGAGCTTGCCAGACAGTGTGGGAGAGGGGAGCCGGTGCTGTGGTACCACAGGCAAGGCTGCACCTGCGATGCCAGCATCCCATATGGGCGCCAGTTTGTGTCCTGGCTGCTCCAGTTCCATCCAGCTCCCTGCTAATGAGCCTGAAAAGCAGTGGAAGATGGGCCAAGTGCGTGGGGCCCTGCCACCAACACAGGAGACTGGGATGGAGTCCCTGGCTCCTGACTTTGTCTTGGTCCAGTGCTGGCCATTGCGGCCAACTGGGGAGTGAACCAGCAGATGGAGGCTTGCGCTCACTCATGCTCTAACTCTGCCTAACTCTAGATCTTTAAGAGACAGAGACAGAGGGAGGGAGGGGTAACACAGAGGAAGGCATGGATGGCTCTCGAGCAGCTGCTTCCTCCATTCATTTTTCCTTCATTATGTCTCACAGCGGAAGGACTTTCAGACGAAATATAAAACAATTCCAAAGCTTTGATAACAACTCAGATCCTTTCTTACAGGTATTAAAGGAAGTTCTTCGCAAGTCACAAAACCCCTTTATGGCAACATCAAGGCTCCCTGTGGTGCCCTTGAAGAAGTAAAGGCGGTTCTAGAGCCGACTTGGCAACAGCAGGGAGCAAGCTGTCCTTCTAGGACATGATGCTGACGCCCTTTAAACCATGACCTCAGACCCGAGTGTCCCCAGCTCCGGGACACCCCGGGGCACTGCGGCCAGCCCGAGTCCCAGAGCCAAGGGGCGGGCGGCACGGGCTGTGAGCACACTGAGGGTGGGATCTGGGTTGTGACCCTTGTGGCACACACTGGTTGTAACACCATCAGAAGGAGTGAAATGCAGGCGTAAAATGCAAGATTTTCTCACAGAAGCAACCAACAGTAACTGAGAAAGCCTAGAGCTCTTTTCTCCCCCAAATATTTCCTTCCCAGGATCAAAATTCAATTTTAAGCCTGTCTAGCTGAAACAGTGCACCTGTTACCATGGTGCCAAATAATTTTAAAGATTCTGTGAAACCAGATCCAAAGAAAAACCTCTTCCCTTATTCTAAGGGGGTGTTTTCTACATCTTGAAAGAACCAACTGGAAGGAGTTGCAGAGTCTCGAAGGTCAGCTGGTGTAGTCCCACGGGGCCTGGACGGCTTAAGGGGACCACAGAGCCACAAGCATGTGCCTTGTGAAAGAACATGGCCTGGAATCCGCCAGAATCTGTTCAGCTCAACAGTGTGGTTACTCTGCACTGCACCGTCGTAGAGAGAAACATGCAAGTACAGGTGGGCACACCCGTGTCCTCTGTCACAGGGTCTGGGTTCAAACCCCAGCCCTAGTCCCTGCCCCAGCTTCCTGCGAACGCACACCGTGGGAAGCAGCAGCAGGTGGTGGCTCAAGTAGTTGGATTCCTGCCACCCAGGGGGAGACCTGGATTGAGTTTCTGGCTCCCAGCTAGTGCCTGGATTAGCACTGCCTGTGTGGGCATCTGGAGAGTGAGCCAGCAGATGAAAGCCTGTCTGTGTGTGTGTGTGTGTGCGTGTATCTTTCTGTTTCTCGGTATCTCTAGTATATAAAAAAAATTAGAAATGAAAAATGCTATTCAAAATAATATCCCAGGGTAGGCGCTGTGGCACAGCTGGTAAAGCTGCTGCCTGTGGTGCCGGCATCCCATACGGGTGTCAGTTCGAGTCCCAGCTGCTCTACTTCTGATCTCGCTCCCTGCTGTGGCCTGGGAAAGCAGTAGAAGATTGCCCAAGTCTTTGGGCCCCTGCATCTGCATGGGAGACCTGGAAGAAGCTCCTGGCATTGGATCTGCTCTTGGCACCAGATCTGCCCAGCTCTGGCCACTGCAGCTATCTGGAGAGTGAACCAGCGGATGGAAGATGTCCCTCTCTCTGTAACTCTGCCTTTCAAACAAAATAAACAAATCTTAAATAATAATAATAATAATAATAATAATATCCCAAGGCTTTCCAAATGCCCTTGACATTCCTGAAACACAGCCCTGAAACACAAACAAAGCTCAGGCCAGGACCACAGCTGCCCTGGCACGTTCACATAACAGACTAGTAAACTCTGCAACAGAGCTACCTGGTCGTCAGTCCAGTGAGGCCTGAGTCTCAGGGGAACGCCCTGTAGAGCAGAGGTCAAGTTCACTTCCCACCTGGGCTGAAGCTGCCTCTGACTCCCCGTGTGAAGGCCAAAGCCTCCGAGCACACACAGCGGCTGCCAGGTCCTGAGAGGGGCCCGAGGAAGCCCCTGCGCCCTGGGACGGCTTTGGAGACCGGCTTCCGAGGGATGCCTCCTTGTCAGGCAAGAAGGCCCTGAGGTCCCTGCACGGCAGCAAAACAGGCTGCACACCTCGGGGAACGCCCAGCCTCCAGCCTCAACAGACGCCAACATGGCGTCAGGTGGAGGCCGTCAAGGCTCGGCAAGTCCCCACATTCCACAGACTCGACCACCAAGGGCTCAGCCCGCGGGGCCCTCACAGGACGGCTTTCTGGTGTGGAGATGGGGGGAGGCACCCACCGCTCGGGGGCGCTCTGTGGACCTTGGCCTGCGGCGCGGTTGCCGGCGTCTTCTCTCCCGCGTCCCTCTCGCTGGACTCGTCGCTGACCGTGGAGTCGGCATCGGAGGGGGACACCCTGCCAGCGACAAAGCACATGGCAAACGTTAGAAACAGCGGACAGAGAGACTGGGTCACCGCAGCCTGCATGCGGCACCGGGCCTCCGGGGCGCCGTCCCAGTGTGCTCCTTCACAGGAGGGCCCCATAAGGGTGCCCTGACTGCACACAGCCACTGCACTCAACCGGGCCCGGAAGCCAGGCCGCGCGGGACGTCCCTGCTGCAGCTAGCGGGGCCTGAGGCCCAGCCCCCAGCCCCGGGTCGCTTCTGCACCTGCGGTCCAGGCCTGGCCCAGACGAGATTAAGGAGGACCCAGGGTTCAGGCCCGGGGAGTCCCCGAGGGCCAGGGTCCATCTGCAGCCCCTGAGTGACTCCCAGTCTTCTGGGAGACTCCTATGCTGACCACAGGCTCCAACGGCCACCGCGGAGACTGGCTCCACACCCAGGGGCGATGCAGCGAAGTAACACCTGCACAGGAGGGACTCCATCCTGGAGCACCTGAGACCCCATCCTGGGAAGGCACCCCCCCCCCAAGACCCTGCTCTGAAACTAAGATCTCAGACAACAGCAGTCTACACCACACTGGGCGAAGCATAGACACCCCAGCTGACCGCTCAGGCTTGGAAGCAGATGGGCCGCACCCGGGGTAATGACAAAGTGATTTGTCTGTGTCCTACCTATGAGTTAGCCAACACCTGATAATGTCAAGATTATAACTGAAACTGTTAAGATCGTAACCGGTATTGGCAAGACTATAATTGACACTAGTTTCACAGAGGCTTTAGGTCAGCTCGGCCCTGGCAACCATGTATCCCCCCACCCCGACCCTAGCAACCTCATGATGTTGTGCCTTTATAAACCCTGTTTCAGAGTCGAGAGTTCTTAGGGGCATGAGCCCGCTCTCCACCGCTGGCAATAAAGGACAGTCAAATTTCACCAGTGTGTGGTGCTCCTGTGTGCACTCGGCCAGGTACACCAGCAGCACAGAGACCAAGTCGCACCAGGCAGGGAGAGTCCTGTGGCGGTTAGCATGCCATCTGTCCCTGCAGAGTGGAGAGCCCTGTGGCGGTTAGCACACCATCTCTCCCTGCAGTGTGGAGAGTCCTGTGGCGGTTAGCACCATCTCTCCCTGCAGCAGTGTGGAGAGCCCTGTGGTGGTTAGCACCGTCTCTCCCTGCAGCAGCGTGGAGAGCCCTGTGGTGGTTAGCGCCGTCTCTCCCTGCAGCAGCGTGGAGAGCCCTGTGGTGGTTAGCGCCGTCTCTCCCTGCAGCAGCGTGGAGAGCCCTGTGGTGGTTAGCACCATCTCTCCCTGCAGCAGTGTGGAGGGCCCGGTGTAGTTAGCACCATCTCTCCCTGCAGCAGCGTGGAGGGCCCTGTGTGGTTAGCGCTGTATCTCTCTGCAGCAGTGTGGAGGGCCCTGTGTGGTTAGCACCGTCTCTCCCTGCAGCAGCGTGGAGAGCCCTGTGTGGTTAGCGCCGTCTCTCCCTGCAGCGTGGAGAGCCCTGTGTGGTTATCACTGTCTCTCCCTGCAGCGTGGAGGGCCCTGTGTGGTTAGCACTCTCTCCCTGCAGCAGCGTGGAGAGCCCTGTGGCGGTTAGCACGCCGTCTGTCCCTCCGGCAGCGTGGAAGGCCCTATGTGGTTAGCACGCCGTCTCTCCCTGCGGCAGCGTGGAGGGCCCTGTGGCGGTTAGCACGCCGTCTGTCCCTCCGGCAGCGTGGAGGGCCCTGTGTGGTTAGCACGCCGTCTGTCCCTCCGGCAGCGTGGAGGGCCCTGTGTGGTTAGCATGCCGTCTGTCCCTCCGGCAGCGTGGAGAGCCCAGACACTCTGCTTCCCAGAGGGCTGGCTGCTGAGCCCGTGCAAGAACGCGCAGGCTCCGAGATGACAGGACCGAATGTTTGTAATGAGACTGACTACCAGGCGGGAAAAGCCACCCTGCAGAATCTCCCTAGCCTAGCAAAGCATCTTTAGGGCTTCGACTTCTCTGAGCCTGCAGAGTAATTAAGCGAACAGCAACTCTCCCGCACGCCTTCTCCTTTGCACAGATCCTGCTCCCACGGCCAGTACACTCTCAGAACCAGGCCAGGCCCCGGGAGGTTTCCCGACACGACACCACTGCAGATTTTGGTATGAGCGCGTGCACTCCTCTTTGCTTTTAGCAACAAATCAGAGTGTGGGGCCCTACGCTCAAAGGGAGACGGACAACAGGCCGTGGCCTGTGGATGCTCCGATCTCAACTCAGCAAACCTAACTCCGCCCTCTGCCTTTCTTGGGCACAGCCTGGCCCTGCTCGTGGGACAGGGGCTGCTGGGGGCTTCCAGGCTTCTGCAGGAAGCAGCAACGACTCTCCAGGTGCTGCACTCGGTGGAGCGACGGCAATCGATGGAGAATGGAGGACGGGCAGGGAGGAGGCGGTGGAGAGGCACTGTGCCATCAAGGGTGACAGCGTGGGCAGCCGAGGACACAGCCAGCACGGAAGGGTGCGGCCATGGCCACGGAGTCGCCAGGGAGCCGGGCCAGGGCCAGGCAGCTAGAGCCGGCTGAGTGCGCGCCAGGCACCTCTCACACGGTCCCTCTGCTGTGACCCCCACTGGGCCTGGCGCCTGACCCCAAAATACACACGTGGGGGCGGGACGGCCACGTGGCCACAGCGGGCGATGCACAACCCCACATGCTCTGGGCGAAGAGACTGCAAGGCCTCCAGGCAACTCACGGGGCTCCTGCACACAGCCCCGGGCAGGGCTCACCGGCGTCGCGCGGTGCTGAGAGCAAAGGCAGCCCCGCGAGAGGGGAGCCACCGCAGGACGCCCACACTCACCTTCCCCGGTGGCGGAGGTCCTTGGCGGGCGCCTTGGGCTTGGGGCTGGGCACGTCTCCGTTCTCCGACGGCGTGGCGTGGTCCTTGGCGGGCCCCGGCAGCGGCGCCGGCTCGTGGGTGATCAGGATGTCGTCCTTGTGCTGCCCCAGGTGCTGCTTAGCGAAGTCGAAGCCCTTCACGCTGGGGATCTGCAGCTGGAACACACACGCAGAGAGCCCACGGTGAGCGCGGGACCTGAAGGCGTGGGGCAGCGGCGACTGGGCCCCGCCGGCCCCTGCGTGCCGGCTCTGTGGGCGCCTGGCCTCTGAAGAAATGGCGGACCCCCCTCCGGCTCCAGACACCGGGCGGGGGGCAGAGGAGGAGGCAGGGTCAGCAGGGCTGGAGCGTCAGGTGGAGAGTCCTGGACGGGGTGACACGGAGGGAAAGGGGCGGCCCACGAGCCACGGGGAGCCGGGGCTGAGGACAACAGTCTGCGAGGCCTTTCGGGCTGGGATGCCCCCTTGCCAGCCATCCGGACAGGTGACATGTTGGGGAGGGGAGGGTTTTCAAGGCGAATACAGAGTCCTTGGGTAAAATATTAGCCGGCGGCTCCATCATCTGGGGCTAAGAAGAGGGAAAGGACGGAAGGGAGAAGATGGGTGACTGCAAGGAGACAGGAAGCTCAGCCAACAGACGCCACGGAAGTAAGGGATTCCCAGGGAGAGCGGCTCACAGAAGTGACCGGAGCACGCAGCTAGAGGACAAAGGGGACTCAGAAAAAGCCCACCGCCCACACTGGCGGGGGCAGGGGTCCTCCCCGGGGATTCCCGGTACCGACCCTGACCCCAGGACCGGGGAGGCCGGGTCTCTGCCTCCAGACCTGGAGCGAGGCGGGAAAGATTCTCCAGGGCACCCAGAGACGTAGACAGCGGGAGGGCCCGGGAGAGCATCGACAGTTTCCTAACTGCAGGTGGTTGTGGGAGGGGCTTCTGGGCAGGTATGCCCCCCACAGAGCCCTCATGGGCAGGCTGGAGTCACAGCTACACACAGGCCCCTGAGGAAGGAGACACTTAGCCAACACGCTGCTTGCAGAAGCAAGGGGTTTTGACCTGTGTTACGCACGGACGAATGACACCAGTGCTTAGGCTGTGTTAGGTCACCACCTTAGGTGGTCTAACACCAAAACCCCGCATCCTGGGAGAGTAGTCTGCAATCATGGATCCTGCCAGCAGAGGGAGACAAAACATACTGCAAACAGAGTTGACACAGAGCTACTAGGAGACAAAAGGCTAACACCCATGCGCCCGCATTCTCCAATCAGAACAGCAGCGTTGCAGGGCAGGCCACTCCACACACAGCCCTCGGGCCAGGACAGTGTGAAAACAGCTCACGACTGCACTCCAAGGCAACTCCCCGTCCTAGCAAGTTTAGTTCCTCCTCCATGAGACTGGGTCAGTGCCTGAACGCCAGGGGTGCAGGGGTCCCACTCCAGGTGCACGACTTGTGTTTGCGCTGTGACCCAGCAGTGACTCCCAGGCAGGGGCCTGTGACCGCCCCCCCCCTTTAGTGAGGGCCCTGCTCCCATCGCACAGAGACGGCCCCTCCCCCTTGCCCCAGAGGCGGCTTCCTGGGCTGTGCTGTCCAGAGGTGTGGAACCCCCGGGCGGCAAATGAAGAGGACAACTCAGAACTGCGGGTTCGGCAGGCCCCACCGCAAACCTGTGTTGGGGTGCCCCTTCTCTTCCTGTCTTAGGTGTGTTTCTTTCAGAGATGTGGCCAGGGTCATGGTCTACACTGGGATGACGTAAACTCAGCTATGCTGTAGGGGAGGCAGCAGGGGCAGCCGTATGCCTGTTACACAGCTTCGCCTCTGCCGTCTCCAGCCACCAAAGAACACTTTGCTGCAGGGAAGGACCCAGGGAGAACAAAGCAAGGAGGCGGCCCCAGAAGTCCCAATGCCTCGTTTCAGGCAGGTCAGAAACTCACGATGGGCTCTGTGCTTTGTCTTAGAAATGAACGGTTCCAGGGGCCGTGCTGTGGCACAGCCGGTAAAGCCGCCGCCCGTGACTCCCCCATATGGACACCAGTTCAAGTCCCGGCTGCTCTGTTTCCGATCCAGCCCCCTGCTAGTGCAACTGGGAAAGCAGCAGAAGACGGCCCAAGTCCCTGGGCCCCTGCACCCACGTGGGAGATGCGGAAGAAGCTCCTGGCCCTTGGCCTCAGCCTGGCCCAGCTCTGGCCCTGTGGTCATCCGGAGGGTGAACTCACAGATGCAAGACCCCTCTCTGTCTCTCTGTCTGCCTCGCCCCCTCTCTCTCTAACTTTCAAGTAAACAAACGCCAGGCTTGGAGCAGGAGAGCTGTGCTGCTTCCCCTCCACCGCCCGCAGCTTCACAGAGCACCATCCGCAGCAGGGAGAAGCTGCACAGGGCACCTCCATCCACTCCTCCCAGCACCACAGTCAGAGTCAGGGCACAGGGCAAAGGACAGACCCCTGCACCCTGCAGCTGTGGGGGTTTAGGGGCATTGGCCCCAGAGCTACGCTCACGCACCCAACGTGAGCAAGGGGGCTAACATCAGTAGCAGCCCCTAAAAAATCCACTCCCACCCTGGGAGATCTGGATGAGGACCCCACTGCACCCTACAACTCCAGGTCTGACAATTCATTCTAAATGTCTCAGTGCCACTGGAATCTGCCCGGTGGACACAGGGAAGAACCTACCCACATTCCACCTCTCCAGACTCACCCCTGATAGTAACACCTCCTGGGTACTTGTGGTCGCCCTGTAGGACTGGAGCAGGGTCCAGGTCACAACCCCGAGTCCTAGGACCAGGGCTGCTGGTGTCACCGCCCAGCGCCGGCCGGGCTCTCCCGGCAGGACCAGGGCTGCTGGTGTCACCGCCCAGCGCCGGCCGGGCTCTCCTGGCAGGACCAGGGCTGCTGGTGTCACTGCCCAGTGCCGGCCGGGCTCTCCCGGCAGGACCAGGGCTGCTGGTGTCACCGCCCAGCGCCGGCCGGGCTCTCCCGGCAGGACCAGGGCTGCTGCTGTCACCGCCCAGCACCGGCCGGGCTCTCCTGGCAGGACCAGGGCTGCTGGTGTCACCGCCCAGCGCCGGCCGGGCTCTCCTGGCAGACCTGAGGAAGGGTCCACAGGTATCTCTCAGTCCTGGGGCCACAGCAACTGGCACCACCAGCCCAGCATCACTCAGGCTTCCCAGGAGGACGGGGGCAGCCCCCCCGTCTCCTCAGCGCCAGGAACAAGGTCCTGGCTGTGACATCCACCAGGGACACTGACACTGAACTCTCCATGGACCAAAGATACACACCCACGTAAACCCTTATTCATCTCAAAGCCACTCTTCTGTCCCTGGGAACTGCAGCAGGCTAGACCAATGTGTCACTTACAGACACAGCTGGCACTAAGAAAAAAGAAACCACTCAGAGCCCACTCCCCTGGGCTCACCTAGAGCCAGAGCCAAAGCAGCAAGCCAAGTGACGCCCTGCACACCAGCTAAACCTACGTCCTTTCCAATAAAACCGCTCCATGGGGAAGAAGGGCGAGTGCACCAGGTGGGCAGACATCAACACGGGGCACAGCAGACGTGGAGACGCAAGGAGCACCACGCCTCCAAGGAGCACACACACACGGAGCACCACGCCTCCAAGGAGCACACACGCACGGAGCACCACGCCTCCAAGGAGCACACACGCACGGAGCACCACGCCTCCAAGGAGCACACACGCACGGAGCACCATGCCTCCACGGAGCACACACGCACGGAGCACACACGCACGGAGCACCGCGCCTCAAGGAGCACACACGCACGGAGCACCACGCCTCCAAGGAGCACACACACACGGAGCACCACGCCTCCAAGGAGCACACACGCATGGAGCACCACGCCTCCCAAGAGCACACACGCACGGAGCACCACGCCTCCACGGAGCACACACGCACGGAGCACCACGCCTCCAAGGAGCACACACACACGGAGCACCACGCCTCCAAGGAGCACACTCCTCCAGAACCGGGCCCTGGACTGCAGGGAACTGGGAAGTACAGACACAGGATCAGGAGAGCGGCTGTGCGGGACTCAGTGAGGTGCAGGAGAGCACAGACAGACTGAGGAACTCAGTGAGTGGCACGAACGGAAGTACTGCTGAGGAGATACAAGAACCACAGAGAAGTTTAGAGATGAAATCGTCAGTGAAATAAAAAATACAAGTGAGAGCTTGAACAGCAGAGCAGACCAAAGGGAAGAAAGAACTTCTGACCTCAAGGACAAGAATTAAGAAATAACAATAATATAAGAAAATAATGTAATCAGACAAAATAAAGAGAGAGGAATTAAAAACAATAAAGAAAGTCTACACTGAATCTGGGACACAATTATATGACCAAATATTTGTATCACAGGTATTCCTGAAGGAGAAGAAAAAGAAAAAGCCACTGAGAACCTGATAAATGAAGCAACTGCTGAACATTTCCCAGGTCTAGAAAAAGACATGGACATCCAGGTCCCGGAAGCTCAAAGGATCCCATAGACTCAACCAAAAAAAGTCTTCTCCAAGGCAAGCTGTCATCAAATTGTCAAAAGTTAAAGACAAGGAGAGAACCCTAAAGACAGTAAGAAAAGCGTCAAGAGACAAAGGAAAACCAATGAGATGAACATCAGACTTCTCAGTGGAAACTCTACAGGCAAGGAGAGAGTGGATTGGTACATTCAAGGTCGTAAAAGAAAAAATTTCCAACCAGGATTATTATATCCAGCAAAACTATCTTTAAAAGTGAAGACGAGGGGCTGGTACTGTGGCACAGCAGGTGAGGCTGCCGCCTGCAGTGCCAGCTTCCCATATGGGCGCCGGTTTGAGTCCTGGCTGCTCCACTTACAATCCAGCTCTCTGCTGTGGGCTGGGAAAGCAGAAGAAGGTGGCCCAAGTCCTTGGGCCCCTGCACCCACGTGGGAGATGCAGAAGAAGCTCCTGGCTCCTGGCTTCAGATCAGCTCAGCTCTGGCCATTTTTGCCATTTGGGGATTGGACCAGCAGATGGAAGACTCTCTCTCTCTCTCTCTCTCTCTCTCTCTCTCTGCCTCTGTCTCTGTCTCTGTCTCTGTCTCTCTGTAGCTCTGCCTTTCAAATAAATAATGAATCTTTAAAAGTGAAGACAAGGCCGGTGCCATGGCTCACTAGGCTAATCCTCCACCTGCGGCGCCA